CCCCTCCTACCAGGGCAGCGCTACTGACTGAAGTATCTTTAGGCCATCCCAAAGAGGGAATATTAATATGTTCTTATGCACAGTATAGTTGTAAATGGGCTGATTTATCAGTGTCATGCTCATACTGTGCCGGAACAACATAGGGGGAAACTGCTGCTTTTTCTTTCCTCATCCTTACTATCGTCATTTTTCCTCTACTTCTTTTGTATGTTTGTCACTCTCGTGTGAACTGCTATTTCCGGGGTTCCTAGATAGTTGAAGCAGACTTTGTGCTGTTGAGATTAGAGAGGTGAGCAGAGTAAGCCTGATTGCCCGTTTGGACTTCTCTGTTGACATCCACCCCTTGGCGCTCCCATGACCTTATGCAGTTGCGAGCGCCGTAAAACCTTACTAAAAACAAAACTAACTTACAATCTCTTAGTTCATCATTATTAAGTTCTATTCTTAGATATGACTTGAATCTAAATTGCAAGGCAGTAATTATTTTGTCTGTGTGTGTTGTATTTTGACAGAACTGTCGTTCCACCGCCGGCCTCCTATAAGGGCAGAAAGTGCGACTTATTGCTGTCTTCTGTGTTTCCCTTCTCCGTCACGATGAGAATGACAGAAAGCGGACAAATGCAGTTCTCGAGGGTCAGGGAGGGGAAGGTGGGATGGAGTGTCCTGCAATGTATAGGTAATGCATGCGCTCAAGAACAGTGCCTACAGCCTAATGCGGCTCTAATTTTCGGCGGCAGATGTACGTATACATTTTTGGTTACTGTCAGTTTCACTTTGAGGAGCGCACTTGATTGTGAGGAAAATTCCGGGGAAGGTTGCATGCCTCTAAACTCGGAGAAAATCGCGACAAAGGTGCCACTTTTCGCTTCAGCGATTCAGTGTGAGATTCTACAGCGTGCAGTCGGGGTGCAGAAGGTGACTATCCAGAAAATCGATCAAGAAATTGCTGACGATATATCGGAACCTGAGTTTATTGGGGTCAACAAAATCAGCGCGGGTCATCTTGCAATTTACACATTCAGTTGGTCAGTCGTGGGCTCAGACACGATTCTGAACGAACTCACGAAGGAAATGGTTTTGGAAATGGTTTCAGAGCACTTGCATGGGCTTGGCCTACTTCCACAGAAATCTGTGGCCCAATCAAAACGTGTTGGTGAGCCGAGGCTTGACAATGCATCGCTGCCCTGGGGCCAGCAAGAGATGAAATGTGATTTGGGTTATGCGTGTGTGAGTATTGCTACAGGAGAAGAGAGTAAACTCCCTTGCTCAGCGCTCTCTCATTGTCTCTACAAACCCAAATTTAACGTTAACAGCTTTGCCGAGTGTCGAAGCAAACTTTGGAGAAACTCAGCAACTGTTCTTGACATTAGAACATTTCTAAATAATGTTTTGTCTTTGATGGCGATATTCTCTGGCCACTCTCTCTTCACCTACATATAGACAAGACATCCATTTTTAGACGTGTTATTTTTGTGTGTGTTTTAGTAAGAGTTTTACAGTACTGGCAACACAATAAGGTCATATTATAAGTGCCGAAGATTATAGTTGTTACAAGAGAGTAACAAACAAAAAAGAAATATGGGAGATAAGGACGATAAATGTTTGATAGGAAAGAAGGGGCAAACCTCACCAGAGCACCCGCCGACCACCCGCCCAGCTATAACTAGAGAGGAACATAGAGATAAAAGAAGAAGGGAAAGTAACGATAGACGTGTGGGTCGGAAGCAGGAGCAAACCACAGCAGCCCACCCGAAAACTACCCACACTATCATCCCCACCACCATCATCATCACTACTACCAC